CAGGCAGAGACAGTTGAGCCTTAGAAGACATAAGCCTGAAGGAGTCCCCTGGTAGCAACTAGAAGTTTCTTGGGTATTCTTTCCATGCTTTAAGCCTTGGTTCTATGGATGACAAAGTCTCCCTCCAGGCAGTGGCTTGGAAACTCTGGTGGCTAAGCTTAAACTGAAATCTTATAACAATGAAGTAAGGCTCATGATGCCCATTTTAGAGATGAGAAAAACTGAGGCTCTGAGAGGTTAATCTGCTTTGAATCATGGAGAAGTAAGTGAATTCAAGGTCATGTCACTCAGAAGCCCACGCTCCAAGCTCTGTGCAGAAGTTTTCCACGCACCTGGCAACTGATTGCCTGTAATGTATGAACAATCTTAAGAAGACAGAGTGGAGGGTTAGGAGCTCACATCCCTCAAGGAATACACACACACACACACACACACACACTCTCTCTCTCGTGCTTTGTGAATCTGGTCTTTTTCATCATTCAGTTCCCAGCTCGCCTGGAATCTTTTCTAAGCAGTCTTGCCCTTAGACAACTTCCTATGCTCTTTTCCTTCTTTGAAATATGATCTTTGCCATTTGCTAAAATCAGTGTATAGGAGGCTCTGCCAATGTATAGGAGAGGGTCTGCCCAAAGACTGTCCTCTCCCATCAGGGAGCCAGTTGCATATATATGTATGTATGTATATATTATATTTGTCTGTCTCTGTGTGTGTGTGTGTATGCATGCATGCACATGTATGTATATAGACCTGCATTTGCCACAACTTTCAGGGAGTTGATTCTGTTCAACTGTGTGGGGTCCAAGATCAAATGCAGGCCATCGGGTTTTGATGGTGATCACCCTCTCCTTCTGAGCTATCTTGTTGGCCTTCGCAGTTGCTTTTTGACATGACCACTCTTATAGGTGTATTTTTATTTTTATTTTTAAAGATAGGATCTCACTACGTAGCTCTGGTTGGCCTGGAACTCACTATGTACACCCACCTGGCTCAAAACTGACAGAGATCTGCCTGCCTCTGCTTGCTGAGTACTGGGCTTAAATTTTTGCCATCACATCTGTACAGGTTCTTTTTATATTAGTTATATATTTTCTTTAGGATTTCTATTGCTGCGATGAAACACCATGACCAAAAAGCAAGTTGGGGAAGAAAAGGTTAATTAGCTTATACTTCCATATTGCTGTTCATTACCAAAGTAAGTAGGATAGAAACAGGGCTGGGACCTGGAAACAGGAGCTGATGCAGAGGCCATGGAGGGGTGCTGATTACTGGCTTGTTTCCCCTGGCATGCTCAGCCTACTTTCTTATAGAACCCAGGACCACCAGCCCAGGAACCTTCCATCATGGGCTGGGCCCTCATCCATTATCACTAATTAAGAAAATGCCTTACAGCTGGATCTCATGGAGGCTTTTCCTCGGCTGAGGACTTTCCTCTGATGACACTAGTTTGTGTCAAGTTGACACACAAAACTAGCCAGTACATTATATACAGACAGGATTCCCTGTTACCTTTACAGAGGTTGTTTCCGGTAGATTCTGCCCAGTGGGAGAGAAGGCCTCATGTCTTCTTTAAACAAACTTACAGTACATGTTAAAAGAATGTAGGCATGTAGCTTGAAAGCAAGGAGGGTGCCAGGCAGTGATGGTGCATACCTTTAATACCAGCCTGCCGAACCTGGATCATCTAAAGGACAAAAATCACCCCAGTGGGGAAAGGTGCTACAAAAACCTGTCCCTTTCAACCTCTTCCTTCCACAGTGTCGTTACTGCCTGAAAAAGACAGGTGCACGCATGGGTCTGTAACCCAGCCTTGCTCAGGGGAAGCACTTGGTGACACATATTAGTTTTACATGTGAACCAACCTGGCATCTGCCTTCTTCTGCAGCTCATAGCAGCTCCCCTCTCAGATTATTCCTTCCTCTTCCACTGTGTTCAAATTTATCTTTGGGTTTATTTTCAATTGTGCATTTTGACTTATTCATGATTACTCTCCTTGTTTTCTTTCTTTCCTCTTTTTTTTTGTGGTTGTTTTTTGGCTTTTTTTTTTTTTTCAAGACAGAGTTTCTCTGTATAACAGTCCTGTCTGTCCTGGAGCTTGCTTTGTAGACCAGGCTGGCCTTGAACTCACAGAGATCTTCCTGCCTCTGCCTCCCCATTGCTGGGATCAAAGGCATGTGCTACCATTTCCCAGTTACACTTTTTTTTTTTAACCACCCAAGCAAGCTTTTACTTCTTTGGAATGAAATAGACTTGGATAGTAAAGGGTGTTTGTGTATCAATATATAGCATGTATTTATATAGGCTATATGATAATTTTAATAACTGACATCTGTTTCTCTAGAGAACTGTATTAATTAAGTTAATGTAAGTTTGGGACAGATTTTAAATGATTTTTTTTTCTGAGACAGTGTTTCTTTGTATAGCCCTGCTGTCCTAGAACTCGCTCTGTAGATCAGGCTGGCCTCAAGATCCACCTGCCTCTGCCTCTCAAGCAGTAGGATTAAAGGTGTGCACCACTACTGCCCAACCATTATTTTTTAATGGTACACTTATATTCAGACCTCCTTTCAGTAAATCCAGGGCTTCAGGGTGGGAAACCAAGTTTCAAAGGGCTCCATAGGAAGTGTGGGGGCAGATATGACTTTGCATCTAGAGAGGATTCCACATTGGTGCTTCCTGTGACCTCTGCCCTTTTGTGTTTCAGAATGTTCTCTCTCTCTTGGCTGCAAACCATAGAGCATAACCTGGGTATGTGTCTGGGTATGTGCTGGGCAGGACAGGAGGGCTGGCCCCTCCAGAAACTGTTCATGTACAGGGTGGGGAGGGGGGACAGTGCCAGCATCCTGCAGGTTGGTAGGATGGGGTGAGCCGGGGTTGTAGTGGGTTCTCCATGGACTGCATTGTAAGGTGCTCCCTCCCTGAGGCTGGGGAGGAGTCCACCTCTCACAGTTCTTGGTGCCAACTGTGTGCCAGATGGACTCCTCTAGAATCAGAGTTACATTTTTCCTCACGGGAAAGCCTCAATCACGTTTTTCATCATGCAGATGGGAAAGCTGAGGCAGGAACATTGTTGGTACTAGCCTCCAAGCCACTGTGGGGCCAGGGCATGAGTCTGATAGCCAAAGCCTCTGCCTCAGGGAAGACATACCCCATGTGCATGATGATTTTATTGTTTTTTATTGAACATGCACAGACTGTAGGATGCAGCCTTATTTTACATATTATCAAGGAGAAGGAATGAATGATTCTATTTAGCTCATGATGTACCATCAACTAAGTCACTGCCCAGTTCCAAAGATGCTAGCCTGGGGAAGGTATCTCTTAGAACTGGTAAAAGGAGACAAAAAAATCTTGGTAATCACATAAAAATTACTCATGCAGTCTTAAAGCTGGGTTTCCTCTGTGTTCTTTTTATCAAATTCCACTATCCATGTAGATAAATGTTTATAAACAGCATTTTGGCGTGTGTCCTCCCAAACATTTTAACACCTCTGGAAGTATATTTATGTAATAATTACTGTTCTAAACACTTGATCTTTGCAAGACATGATGCTAAGCTTTGCAATGCATTTTGTTTGATCTTTGCAATAAGCTCGGAAGGCTGGCATGCCCTAGTCCCACAATATAGATGAAGAAACCAAGACAGAGAGAAAGGGCAACTCACTTGACATCACACAGCTTCTAAGAGGCAAGTCCCGAGTTTGAACTCAGGCCTGAGCCCTTAACCAACATGCCACACATACCCCTCAGTATACAGGTGTATGTAATTTTTAAATATGAGTCAAAAAGAATGTTCTGGAATTTTCTTGTGTATTTCTCCTAACTGAACTCCATGGGCATCTTTCCATGTCAGCACCTAAAGCACTACTTCATCCTTTCAACAGTTGCTGGGAAGCGCATATGGCTGTATATGGATGTGTGTAGCTCATCTCCTGCAGATGAACACTGGGGTTTCTCCTGCAGTATAGTTATCACTGAAATACTGTGATGAACAATTTATACCTCTGTCTTTGGGATCTTCCCCCGGAAAATTACCAGGTTGATTTTCATCTACCTCTCTCAGGTTTTCATCTAAACCCAGATTGCAGTCTACCTGCAACCTCTTGCATCTCACACACCTCAGAGTTTGTATGCAAAGGGCTTCATGTGCATGCTGGTCCTGTGTGAACCCCTAAGTGCTGAATAGAGAGGGCTAGAGAATGGAGGAAGGTGCCAGCTGTGTTCTTGCCCTACTTCCCTTTGGCCCCAGGGCAGGAAGTAAGATGGGGCAGAACGTGGTGTGAGGGACCGGTCTCAGTGTCCATGTTTCCTCCCTGCTTTGGAGGGCCCTTAGCCCTGCATGCTACTCTCTGAGGAGACTAAGAGTAGCTGCTGTCATTTCTGAGCCTCCTGAAACTTGGCAGACATCCTCCATCATGTCGATCTTCACTTGGATGTGTGTAGTGCTGAGTCCCGTCATGGTCTGCATGTGCTGTATGTGGCTGACTTCTTTGGTGGTCAACAGGATGTCTGGTCTTCCCATGTGGCTTTGGCCAATGAAATGCAAACAGAGCATGCCATTTCTGGGCAGCAGAGTTTAAAACTGGGCATGATTTCCTGTGTCTCCTTGCTTCACTGGACCTTGACATCTCATTTTAAGATGGTGACATCATAAGTTGGTGACCCCTTGGAGCGAGCATGATGAAAAGAGCTATATCTGAACCATGTAAGTGGAAGCGAATCACTGTTGCTATAAACTGCTGAGATAATTTATTACCACAGCTCAGCTTCTGCTGACCAGTACTCGACTACCCTCAACTCTTTCCCCGTGGAGCTTCCTTAGAGAGAGTTTTTGAACTTAAATGAAAACACTGTGGTGAGAAGGATTGGTGTGGTCTGAGGCTACAGAGTGGGAGAACTCAGACATGGAGGATATAGCTGACCTTTGTCTGAGAGGCCTGGGACTGGCCCCACCATTGGGACACTCTCTTAGTCTTGACTAACATATATGCTCTCTTTGGTAGGTGGCCCTTCCCCGGGTGGCAGTGCCCCCTGGCACCTTCGGAATGTCCTCGGTGATTCAGTGGAGAGTTCAGATGATGAATTCTTTGATGCTAGAGGTAAGTGAACTCCATCTCTACACCACCAGTTGGGTGGCCTTTCAAGAAGTTCTAGAAAGTAGATCCCTGTTGAGACCTAGCATCTTCTCCATCCATCCACACTTCCATGCTCAGACAATTGGTGGGATTTTTAAAGCTCTTAATGTGTTCAAGGTAGAATACAGGTTTTTTTCCCTGCCCTCATAACATATAGTCTAGCTTGAAAGGCAGACATCACAAGATGATACAAAGCTCACTTGTGGGTGTGATGTCATCAAGTTAAAAGTACCAGCTGACATGAGGGAGATGTAACCAGGACTCCTGCTTTGATGTGGGCAGGATATCCTTCTGCAGAGCCAGGAAGTAGGGGCTTGTCAGGTGAGGACAAGAAAGGGCCTTCCAAACAGATGTGGCAGCAGGTATGGTGGCTCTGAATTAGGAAAGACTGAAGAAGGGAAGAACCTTTTGGGCTCTGAAGGGATGCCCGTGCTATGGAGGTGGTTGGACGTGATACACTGGGGAAAAGGAGTGATAGATGAGACTGGTCCTGGATGCCTACAGTGTCAATGTGGCATCTAAGACAAGCCTCACTGAGATGAAGAGAGCCACCAGTGATGCCCAGGTGAGCTGTGAGCTGTGACAGATAGTGAGCATCCAAATGACACCCAGAGGGACCCATGGAATAGCATTTCAGGTAGAGAGAAAATAGGGGTCAAGGTGTGATTGTACCAGGCAGATGCAGGGGTGGGAGGTGAGTCGATCAAGAATTAGGAGAGAAGAGAGTGTAGCCATGCCGAGCCAGGCTGGGTGTGAGTGATCCCAGCTGAAGAGAGTTCAGGGACCTTCTTGCCTTGTTGGTCCTGCCCTGGGATGTCACCAAGGCTAGCATGTTGACTTATTTGGAATGGGCTAATTTGAAATGCCTGGTAAACATGACCTTGAAGATAGATGGTGCTAGACAATGTCTAGACCTAGAACGGGACAGCAGGGACTGGTCCGGACAAGAACCTGAATTTGGCTTCAGGAATGCCTTTCCCCTTCTTGGGGGGGGGTCTCAGTTTCCCCTATCAGCTCTTATATCCCCAGTTGGAGAACATTTCCCAAATGTTGGGGTTCAGGGGACTTCCAGGGAAGCCTGACTGGATGTCAGGGCTGCCCCACTCAAGGCTCCTACATCCTTGGCTCTGGGCAGGGAAATCTCTCCCCAGTGCTGTCCCTAAACCAGCCCGTTGGGGGCTCATTTCCCATCTTCCCTTGGTGTCTGATTGGAGTGGCTGCCAGGGCTGCGTTTCTCCATAGCAACGAGCCCACAGTGTGACAACACAGCTTCAATATTTTGATACGCGGAAGAGTTTCATTTCAATATTTCTGCCGTTCATCAAGGCTGTGTGTCCCTAGCTGCTATGATGGCATGCTACAGGAGGCAAGCATCTGTGGGTGACACTGGGTTAAATCTGTCTTGGGCCTGCTGACCTGTCTTCCCTGTGAACAGCTGAGGGTCTTTGCTGCCCCATCCCTGGGACCCCTGTCTGTCAGCCGCCCTCAGCTGTGTCTGTCTCCCTCCCCAGCCTCAGTGAACTTGACCGTCCCCTATGCTCCCCTGTCTCCATGGCACATCTCTTTGTTTTTCCCTCCCCCTGCCTGCCATCTCCTTTTCTCCCCTCTATTCTCCCAGGACTCTAGACTCTTCCTCAGGGTGAGGCCTCAAACCCAGTATAAGAGCTGGGATGCCCCTCAAGATCGTGTGTGTGTGTGTGTGTGTGTGTGTGTGTGTGTGTGTGTGTGTGTGCGCACGCACACATTTGCAACCTGTTTGTATATATGATATGCTCTTTGTGTGTATGTGTTTGTGTGTAGACAATCGAAGTGAACCTCAAGTGTCACTCTTCAGGTGCCATCCACCTTGATTTTGGAGATAGGATCATTCCAATTAGACTAGCCAGGCTAGTCAAAGAGTCCCAGAGACCCACTTGTTTCCATCTCCCCATCTCTGGGGTTACAAATTACCCAGACTTTTACATGGCTGTTAGGAATCAAACCAAGTCACTCACACAGCAAACACTTCACTAGCGAAGCCATCTTTGCAGTCCCATTCCATTTTACAAGGTGAGAAACTGAAGCAGGGGATTTATTAAAAGGCTACAGACTGTAGCAGAGCAGGGGGTAGAATTCTACCTCACTTATTTTTTGAGTATATGTTCAACCAGTGTTAGGACCCACCCTCAGTGTAACGATTGAAGACAAACCCCATCCCAGCCCTCATGGATCTATGGCTTACATAACTGGTGGAAAGGGAGAAGACAATGAACAATCAAATAAAACACATTGAGAAATGCTATAAAAACAACACAAAGCGATAAACATTTCATTGCAAAGGGTGTTTGAAAGGCAAATGAACACATGAAAAGTTGCTCAATACCATCAGTCATCAAGGAAAGGCAAATCAAAACTGCAGAGAGGACTGGAAGGGTGGCTCAGTTGGTAAAGTGTTTGCCTTGCAAATACAGGGACCTGAGTTCAATCCCCAGCAATCCACCTACATGAAGACACCAGGCATTGTTGTTACCCTGGAACTGTGGAGGCCAACAAGAGAGTCTTCAGAGCTCACTGGCCAGTCAGTCTAGTCTAATTGATGAGCATGAGACCAATGAGAGGCTTTGTCTCAAGGAAGTGGATTGTGTTCCTGAGGATGATACTGAGGTTGTCCTGTGGTCTCCATACGCACACATTAAAAAAACAAAAACAAAAAAACAAAACAAACAAACAAACAAACAAAAAAAAAAAAACAAGAAAAACAAAACCCAAACCTGTAAAGACAGGTGGGTGAGATGGCTCAGTAGGTAAAGGTGCTTGCTGCCAAGCTTGATGACCTGAATTTGATCCTGGGACCCAAGGTGGTGGAAGTAGAAAACCATCTCCTGAGAGCTGCCCTCTGTTCTCCACATGCATTCTATGGTATGAGTACCTCTCCATATGCACACAAAATAAATAAAAATAAATATAACGAACTGTTTAAACTGTAATGATACCACTATGTACCTATTAGAAGAGTTTATTAAAATAACTGGCTGAAATAAACTGCTCTTAGAGGAAATGGACAATTTCAGAAAGTTGATGGCAGTTCCTAAAGGGTGGGGTGGGGTGGGGGATTTATCTTACTGTGGAGTATCCCAGCACGTACAAGGGCCTGAGCATCATCCTGTCCTATAACCCTTCTACTTGTAGGTGTTTACTCAAGTTAAGAGGAATGTTATGCCAGCTTAATTTATTCTAGTCCTAATCTGAAAACATGGCCAATGAGAACCAGTGAGCGAATGGATAAACAAAGAGTCTGGTCTAGAAGAAAGGAATGAAGTGAAGCATGCGACAGTGTGGACAACATCAGGATAAGTCACCCTGACAGAAAACAAGTCTGGCTGAAGCAGAGCACACTGTGTGACTGCCCTGACCAAAGGGGGAAAAAAATCCAGAAAATGCCAAGCAGCCTGCAGGGACAGGAGCAGATCAATGGTTTCTCAGAGAGGAAGGGAGGGTGAAAATAACAGGAGAAAACTGGCTGTGATGAATTCACAATTACTGCCTTGCAGTACTTACAGCTGTCAAAGCATCACATTATCTGTTTCATTTAATTAATTAATTAATTTCTCCCAAATTTTTATTAGGACATTTAAATTTACACAATAAAAACTAATGAAAGTTGAAAGGTGTCAAAATCAAAATAAAACCAGTTAGGGTTACTATTCTTGTGGCCCATGATGTCCAGACACATTCCCTCAAGGAGATGAGAAGTACCTGTTCCTTTTGGGTCTCCTCTCTGGCATCTTACCACCACCCCTTCTGCCATGAATATGCATGAACAAGCTAGGCTTGGCTTTTACAGGGCCAGTGGCTGGGGGAATGAGGGATCTGGAGCCTGGTTATATTTAGGTACACTGGCGCTGGGAAGTCTAATCAAGAACAAAGGGAAGAGATACCCTCCCCCTCACAAGGCCAACCTTCTGTCCTTTATTCATCTCTATTCTCTTTTTCTTGGTACTTAGGGTTAGGCTAGTTCCCATCTCTGCTTCATTTAAGGCTGGAGGCTGTAGAACTGGATGCTGGGCAGCATAGTCCATTCATAGTTGTAGCCCCCTGCCTTTCATAGCAACTAGGAGAAGCAACTAGGGGTTAGTAACTGCATTTTATAGAAGATTCTAAGGCAAGGTCATCATAGCTGATAGGGAGCTTAGGCCAGGTCTTCCCTCCTTGGTTGGGCTTTGGCTGTGAGCACAGAGACTCCCAAGTTGGGACAAGAGGGAGAAGAAAATCTGGGGTCTAAGAGGTCTTGATCATGGTAGTGCCACTGACTGGCTGCTCTCTGAACTCAGGAATGCCTCAAATCCATGGATGGAGTTTTCCTCTAGAAGACAATAAGGATGTAGGCATTTAGCCCATGGATGAAGATGAAGGAGGCTATGGGGAGTAGAGTGAGTAGAGCGGTAATTACTAGACAGAGAAACTATTATAGATTCAAACCATGAGAGTCTGGACCATGCCCTAACCCTTTGTTAGGGGAAGGGAAGGAGGGAGTGCAATGATACTGCCTTCAAGTTTCTGGGGGTGGGTCAGCCCCAGGGTTCCATGACTACTAGTCTGCAGGCAGGTGCAAATGACCCCTTAAAAGATAGACTCTGCCTACTTACTCTCTCTTCCTCCTCCCTCCCCTCCCCCTCTTTCCCACTGTTCCCCTGGCGCAGACAGGACTTTTTCTGTTTCCCTCTTTTCTTCTGTCTTCTGTCTCTTTGCCTCTTCTCTCCCCCTGCCCCTTCTAATAAACTTCTCACTAAGCTCAGTCTGCCTGGCATGACTGTTCCCCCCCCCTACTCAGTTACCCTCACCTGCCATGGAATCCCCCAAGGTTCCCCTCATGTATTATCATGACAGGT